CCGGGAGGATCCCACATGCCGCGGAGCGGCTGGTCCCGTGAGCCATGGCCGCTGGGCCTGTGCGTCCGGAGCCTGTGCTCCACAACGGGGGAGGCCGCAACAGTGAGAGGTCCGCGTACCGCAAAAAAAAAAAAAAAAAAGGCTAAGCAATTCACCTAACATCATACAACTAGCAAATGTTGCATGATACTAATGTCAATTACAAAATATCATTTCTCTCATTGTCCTCGGTAAAAGTTATTTTTGATATTGCTTAATTGACTTTATTTGCTCTTTCCTCTATTCACACTTCAAACTTTGTTTAAAACCTTGTTGTTAATATTTATCCAACTTTACCTTATATATAAATATTTCTGAATGTGACTAGATTATAGGTACATGTATTTGTAACTAATATATTATTTTATTGCCTTATGTAACAACTGATTTATTGCAAGTACATTTTTGATGTGTAATAATGAAAACATCAAAAACATTTCTGAATGATATGAAGATAAGTTCAAATGGAAGTTTTTGGATTTCCTAGAGAAGAAAATTTAATATTAAACATTATCTGTTTAATCAGGTTACTTAAATGATTTTGTCCTATTTATTAAAAAAGATTTTCCTCTAGAAGTCAGTTAAAAATAGCACACATGCACCCACAACACACAAGCGCTCTCATAACACACATGAGAAAGCATAATTTCATTACACCCATATACCGCCAGTGGTTTCAGTGATTTTTCCTTCCTGGTTGGTAGGTCAAGTTCTCCCTTTCAATTACATAGAGTTTGGTCTGGGACAATTGTACAGTCAATTCATAAATGTTTGCGGTGTCTCTTTCATTAATTATAAAGAAAATTTAGTGCACAAAGATATTCCACAAATAAGTCATTAAAAAAACTGCTATTGTAATTAGGCAACTAAGGCCCTGAAAAGGGATTTAAAAAGTCAACACGTTGGGTTTCCCTGGTGGCGCAGTGGTTGGGAGTCCGCCTGCCAATGCATGGGACACAGGTTCATGTCCCGGTCCGGAAGATCCCACGTGCTGCGGAGCGGCTGGGCCCATGAGCCATGGCCGCTGGGCCTGCGCGTCTGGAGCCTGTGCTCCGCAACGGGAGAGGCCATAGCAGTGGGAGGCCCGTGTACCGCAGAAAAGTCAAAACATTTTTGCCAATATCTTGGCCTGGAAGAGACATTTCTCTAACTCAATTACACAGAATGGAGAAATTCTTACAAAGAAATGTATGCAGGGTCATGTAAAGGTGTGTGTGGGGTAAGACTCCTTGTGTACTGGGCTTGGGACAAAAAAATATAGTACCTCAGATCAATTTGGGGGAATTAAAGTAAGACTCCTTTGGATATCAAATTTATTTGCTTAAAAATGAAAAATTTTTGGTGCTTATTGTGTTTTTATTGTGACTCTTGTCTTTCCTTTACCCTATCCATCAACTTGATTCTGAGGAGAGATTGAGGCACAGAGCAAAGAGGAGCCTGGGGCATCTTCAATATATAGTACCATCTAAAAATACATTCCAAAGTAAACATGTGGTGTGACTGCTGATCAGAGGGCCCAGGACAGACCTGTAAGGTGACTCCTGTTGGGAGGACTATAACCGACCATCTGCTTAAAGTTCTTGCTTGATGGAAAACCACCAGAAGTCAGTAGACCTTCACTCCTCCCCTACCATGTTCTCTCCCCATTAAGTCATTTAAAGCCAAAAGTATCAAGAGTAGAATCACAGCATAAAGGAACAGAGGTTCAGCAGACTAAAGTACAAGCCTTCTCCAGCACTCCATGGGTCCCTTTTCACCAAGAACTTCTGAAGATTTTTTCACCCTACTATTCCTTTCAATACCTGTACTACTTCTTTCTGAAGTGAATTGCTGGCTGCCTTGGAACAGCAATTTAATGCTTCTACAGAATAAGGCTATTTAAAAAGTACAGTTATTCTATTCTGAAGATATGTTCGCTTTCTTTGACCACGTTTATTTGTGTACAGGTTAAATGGATTTCTGCACTAGCTACATCATTCATTAAATTAACTCTATTTTTTTTGAATTTATATATACTTTATAAATAGGAGAGACAATATGCCAGGAAATTACAGCTCTTTTTACCTCTAGGGGTTCAGCAGTAAAACAGAGAACAGTTCTTGGCTATTGTTGAAGGTGAACATTTAGCTTTCTTTCAGGACAAATGAAGTAACTCTGACTGGGGGGGCATAGATGTTGTTCACTTTGGTGAAAATTATGGAATTTTTGTGCTTCGGCATATAAAGATGCTACAGAAAATGCAGGGATAAGGAAAAAATAAAAACAGAAAGCTATTCAAAAATTCGTATTTAAAAGACAGAATTGTTTTAGAGTTTTCATCCCTGTGGGTAGAATACTATTTTACGGTAACTATCTTTCTCTAATTGCAGCATTTACTTTAGTGAACACATTCATTAACCTTAAAACAGAACTGAACTTAGACCTATTGGAAAGATAATAGCAAGGTATTAAAGAGCTATGCCCAGAAAGAGATGTTGAAGCAAATAATTTTTTTTTTTTTTGCACCAAGAGTCTCAGATCTGTGTTCTCCACACTTTGAAAAGAACTTAATAATAAAAGACAAGTGATAACACCCGAAGGCAATAGGAAAATTTAGCAACTGCCACCCTCTGCTAGTGCATTCAACACAATTGATGCATGTGAAATGCCTTTTGCTTCACAAACAGGACCAGTGACTACGAAATTAAGTTAGCGTAAGTCTTTGGCTAGAAAGCCTACTGTCACAGGTGGTCATGGTTCAGCTACACAGTTTTTCTCAGCCGGGCAATAAGCGCACCTCTACTAATGCAAATGTTCTTGCAAACCTGTTCAGTTTAGGTTCTAATGTGCACATTAACCAAATGCGTACAAGAACTCTTAAATACTACAAACAGAATGGCCTCTGTTAGAGTCCACTGAAACATGAGCTCTTCTTTGCAAAATGACATATTGATAGTACCCAATTCATTGTCAAGTTCTCTTACTGTCACAAGGTAATCTGGGTATCCAGTAGAGTAAATTGTTACCGAGTAATCACAATAATAAGACATGCCACCGATTAGGAAAAGTTTCGCTTTTTTAAGCCCAGCATGCTCTTTTGGTTGAGTTGGCAAGAGGGAAAATTTAAAGAAGACTTGTCACAGTTTTCACATACAACCAACACTGCAGAAGTTTCATATCTAAAGTAAACTAGGAACGACTAATTCGATTTTTGTTGTGAAAAGTGCATTGACTATTTTTTTTAATTTATCCTTATAAAAATTAACACTTTTGTAAGGTGATGGCTCTTTGTTTTTGTAGTATATAACCAACATTAAAACTTCGATTTCTGAGCCACTTAAATTATAGTATCCTTAAAAAGCAAGTGTACTTTTGGAACACTAGAGATTCACTGTATTTAAAAATCATTGTGGGCAGGGCTTCCATTGTTTAAGTATTTATTATTCTCTGCATATATTGACAGGCATATACTTAAATGCCCCAAACTTTGAGAACTTCCTTTCTCTAGAAGAATTCACAAGTAATTATTAACCACAACACAAGAGTTCAGAGTAAATAGCAAGACACTTCAAAAAATAACAATTATGCATGATTAGCACTGAGTGTAGAGCTAGAAACAAATACTAAAATGGGCTGTTATTGGAGCAAGTTATTATAGTACCGGGAAGCAAAGTGATTTTAAAACCATCTGCCGTTTGTGAATTCAAGTGACAAGCAATCTTAAAATAAAGAATACAGCTCATATTCCATTTTAGTCTGGGAAAGTCACCTGGGCTTTGTTTGCAAGCAGAGACTAAGTTCATCAACTACTGGGGCTAAACCAAACAGTCCTCACACTAGAAGGAAAGTTTGGTTACAAGAGTCTGAAAGAGGGTGTGTCAGTTAGGAATGGAATCAAGAATTTTGCTACCCTGACTTTTCATACATAATGAGTTTCCTTCATACTTCTCAATTTCAGAATTAGATATAATCCTATTTCCCCTCTTCATTTTCCAGCAGAAACATAATCAGATAATGTTTCCATTCACATAGATTTGAAAAGATCCTTATCCTGTGTGGGTCATTTTATTTTATAGTAGCCAAGGCAGAGAGGTTGCTGCCAGTATGTTCAGGCCATGCAGAATAAAGGCTCAGTCCTGGGCAATGAAACAGTCCACCTTTGTGCTGCTCTTGTGGAAGAAGAATGAAAACCCATCACCAACTTTGGGACTTGATCAACAGTGGGGAATCACAAAACTCTTTTCAATCAACGCATTTTAAACCTCCACTAAAAATAGCTCCTCTGTGCTTGGGCTTAAAGTCCCATCTATGGCCAGGGATGGAATACAGTACTTAATTGTTTCTGACTACAGTCCTTGCATCAGCACTCTGAGAGTGTCTTCTAACTTTTAATCGTCTTGTGTGCTCTTTAATTAGACCTGTTCACAAGACAGCCAAAGGAAAGTGCCTACCACTAAGCCTACTCAAGACATGAAAACAGTCTGATTCACAAGTCCAGGAACTTTGTGCAAGGCTAACCATCTCCCAAGATTTGTCATTTTTCTCTGGTTCCCTGTGCCTTAAAATGAGACACACTTGGGGGAGGAGGTAAGCGCTGTGGCTATTAAGACAGCTCCGTTGTATACAGAGACTGTCTGGTGACATTACTCTCCTTGTCTAATTTCCTTTCTTTATTTCGTCTCTTACCGCGTGTTATCTGTTTGCTACTACTAGCGCTGGAGGGAAACATGGCTTTGGAAGGAACACTTGGTCCCCTCACTGGGAGGAATACTGAGGATTTCTTTAAGGGCTAGGATAACTAGGAAAGGGCTCTACTCCCTCAGAAGGATTTCAGAGCCCGAATTATAGAGAGACCCCCCCTAACTTAGACGGGAGATGCAAACAGCTGAACTGTCTGTCCTTGGCCTCCACAGGTGACCTGCGGTTGGACCAACCTACCGGCAACTCCTCTCAGCTCAGGTCACTCACGCTCCTGGACTCACCTGGTGCTGAGGACCAGCGCCGGCAGGAGAGGCAGCAGGTAGTGCGCTGGGCTGAATTTCATGCTTGTCACCTGCCGGGATCCTCCTTTCCTCGCTGCCTGCGCTCTCCCTCCTCGTCCTCCGGGTCCTGTCGCTCCTCAGTGCCCGGCTCTGTCCCTGGCCAGCAATGAGCCCTCTCCAGCAGCGGACGGAAGGAAACCGACAAGCAAACGGACGGACTCCTTGCGAAGGCAGGCGCTGAGAGTGGGGAGTATCTTCGGGAGTGATGTCACCGGCGAGGCGAGCCCTGCCCGGGATTGTTCGCCGCCGCAGCTCCCGAGACCCGAGGGCGCGTTGTCACTCGCGCTGGAGGCGGCGCGGGGAGAGGGAGGGGGTGCCCAGCGATGGACCCGAGCGCTCCGGTCAACGGGCTGCAGTCACCCAGCTGCACGCCCGCCTGGGGCTGATCTTTTTATTCCCGCTTCTCCATAGGATGGGGAAGGGCAAGGCGGGGGCCAGGAGAGAAATCTAATCTGCCAGTAACTGAACCGGCGTTCGCGGCAGGAGGTGAAACAGAATTCACTGGGAAAGACTATCGGAGGCTAGAGTCATAGGCAGGCGCCCCTCACTTGATTAAACAGTGTTTGTAAAAACGTTGCTCTGGAGAGAATGTTTAAAATATTATTCTAATTAAAAATGCATAATGACTCGTTTGATGTGAATGGAAGGGCAGTAGGAGCGAGCAGCGTCCAGAAATGCACCCTGAGACCGTATTGCCATTGCAAGCTTCTTAGTCCGCAAGCGTGGACTCTAAAGAGGTTTTCAGACAGTTGAGACGTCTGCTGTTTCTGTGATTTGAAAATTTCTGACCTTCCTATAATTTCAATGTGACTCTGTTTGTACCACCAACGGGTAGTGGGGTTGGAGTTGGTGTCACAGGTTCACTCACCTAAAGGGTGGCTTTTCTTCAGGTGAGGAAACATAACTGAGACAATCATCAGAATGTTAGTAATTAACTCGGAGTGGTGGTATTGGAAGGCAGAAGATTTTATCTGTCATTTTTTTCTACAGTTTCCAAATTTTTGCTAATGAACATCTGATATTTAGTAAGCTTTATTTTCAAAAATTAATTAGAAAAATGAAATAATAGAACTCTCTTTTGCAAAAGTAATCCTAGAAAATAGTGCCAACTTCATCTACTAAGATGTTCGATTCTAGGATCTTTACAACAAGGGTATTCTGGCAGGATAACCTTGTTAAATAAATGTTTGTAAAGCACTACTTCATACATTGTTTCATTTGATTGTTTCAAGAGCCAACCTAGAGAAATATAAATAGCCCCTATCATAGAGATGAGGAAAGATCTCATCAAGATCTGAGCTGTATTTTTTTTTTTTTCAACAAAGAACTGTGTTCTTCTAAATCTTAAGCAAACCGTACTGTTGCCTGGAACATCATACTTAGCATAACAAACTCGGTGATTAACACAAAGTTGATGTTCAATAGAGGTTGACATGCATCAGAGACCCTAGAGGGCAAAGGTCAGATGCTCTACAGGAATTCCTATCCAGATGGCTCAGCTCATATCCCAGTTTTTTCAGGGGCTAGCCATTTACAGTAAAATTTAGATGAAACTTCCCCTTTAGTCTATTTTTTGAAGACATTACCTGTAGGAAAAATACATTTGTTATAAACCTTTATTTTGTCTAATTTACCGATCTGTTTTTGCTTTTGCTTCTAATGGGATTGGAGTTAAAACACTCATACAGAACAGATATTACTTTAAAAAGCCCAAGCCAACAAAATAGATGAGTAATAACTTTTGTAAACTGGATACCACCCTCTTGGGCCATAGTAAAATCCACAACAGATATAACTAGGAATACACAAATCAACTCACTTGTGAATTGCATGTCATTTACAAAGAAAAATTGCACTACACTTTCCTAAAACAGAATTCTGACTCTGAAGAAAAATATGCATTTCAGTTTGCTTTTGCTAGGATTATCTAACAATAGATTCTCTGCTCAGTTTAGAAGGTGATCATTTGAGTTGTACACTAAACAAAGCCATATGACTGCTTACTCTCTGGGGAATAACACTCATATTTGTACAACACATTTTTTGTTTAGCTAACAACTTTGAATTTATTGTGTGCTAATCATAGGAATCAAGTGTGGTAGTCATTCCTATTATTCTCTTTTGCGGTTGAAGTGACTGAGCGGTTTCAGTAACTCCTACAGTGGACATGGCATTCAAATTCAGTCTGCATTACTTCAAAACATTTGTTTTCTTGAGAAAGAGTTTTTTTAAAATATGCTTACATAAGAAAAGCTTTTCCCCACCCTAAATTGTATTACTTTAAATTAGATGTGCAACATGAACAACAGACTGCTGCAGACTGTGAACCAAGAAAGGGAATCACCAAAATGAACTTTGTTTTGACGGTGTCTCACAGTTATGTTGTGTCACTGCACTGGATATCAATAACAAGCCATAAAGTTTGTTGACCTTTATGCATTTTCTGTAAGCAGAAAAAAAGACATCCGGGCTTCCCTGGTGGCACAGTGGTTGAGAATCTGCCTGCCAATGCAGGGGACACGGGTTCGAGCCCTGGTCTGGGAAGATGCCACATGCCGCGGAGCAACTAGGCCCGTGAGCCACAATTACTGAGCCTGCGCGTCCAGAACCTGTGCTCTGCAACAAGAGAGGTCGCGATAGTGAGAGGCCCGTGCACCGCGATTAAGAGTGGCCCCCACTAGCCACAACTAGAGAAAGCCCTTGCACAGAAACAAAGACCCAACACACCCAAAATTAAATAAATAAATAAATTTATTTAAAAAAAAAAAAAGACATCCAACTTAGGAGGGCATAGGAGCAACAGGCAAGCACATCTTGGACAGTGAACCTAAGTGGGATTGTGGAAATTCCTGCAGATTTAGAGGACTGAAGTATTATATTATGAATTCCAGTATAGATCTGCCTCCCAGCAGAAGACATTTCTTAGGGAACTACAAGAACATGTCTCCATCACCCATGACATTCTTTCCAGACTGTCACAGGAAAACTCAAATCCAGACTTGATTTTATGGCTTCAGAGAGTTTGTATATGAATGTTAAAAATGTAGCAGTGCAGACAGGAGACTCAGCTGAAACTACTTGTCCTATACTGAGTCGCAACACTGAACTCAGCAAAAGTTTTTTGTAGTAACTATACCCAAGTCTGGATAAAGAACATGAAGAAAGCCCATGCAGTTTCACTGAGAGGGTAGTCTCCATAAAATGCTGGAAATGGGAGACACAGAGGTTATTTTTTTTAAACAGCTTTATTGTGTACCTTAATTCAGGTACCCAAAACACCATTTCAAAGTATATAATTAAGTGATTTTTAATATATTGCCAAGGTTTTGAAAGCATCAGTATTATCTAATTCCAGAACATTTTCATCACCCCCAAAATAAACTCTATATCCACTAGCAGTCACCCACCACTCCCTTCTTTCTCTCTTCTCCCATCCTTGGCAACCACTAATCTAATTACTGTCACTAATGGATGTGCCTAATTCTTGACATTTTATATAAATTAAATCATACTACATATGGCCTTATGTAACTAATTTCCTTAGTATCGTTTCAAGGTTCATCTATGTTGTAGCATGTATTAGTACTTCATTCTTTTTTATTGCGGAATAATGCTCCACTGTAGAGATATACCACGTTGTATTGATCCATTCAACAATTGATAGACATTAGGGTCATTTCCATGTTTTGCCTATATGCTATGAACATCTATATAAAGTTTCCTTTGTGAACATCTGTTTCCAATTCTCTTGGAATATAACTAGGAGAGGAATTCCTGAGTCATATAATCACACTACGTTTAATTTTTTGAGAAACTGCCAAACTGCTTTCCAAAATAACTGTATCATTGTACATTCTCACCATTAGTACAGGAAGATGTCAATTTTTCTACATCCTTGCCAAAACTTGGTATTTTTAATTTATTATTATCATTATTATAGACATTCTAGTGGGTACGAGTAGTATCTCATTGTGGTTTTGATTTGTGTTTACCTGATGGTTAATCTTACTGAGCATCTTTTCATGTGCTTGTTGCCCATTCATATACAGTTTTTGGAGATATGTTTCTTCAAATTCCTTGCCCATTTTGTCATTTATGATTTATTTCTGAATTATAAGAGTTCTTTATACATCCTGGATACAATTTATTTGCTAGATACACAACTTGAAAATGTTTTCTCCCAATCCATGGGTTATCTTTTCATTTTCTTGATGGTGCCATTTTCAGCAAAAAAGTTTTTAATTTTCATGAAGTCCAATTAACATGTCTTTTTCTTTTGTTACTGTGCTCTTGGTATCTGAGAAGGTTTTACTTCACCCAAGATCATAAAGATTTATGTCTATATTTTCTTCTAAGAGTTTTATTGTTTTATCTTTGATCCACTTGGAGTTTGTTTTTGTGTACGATAAGAGATAGGGGTCCAACTTAATTCTTTGCATGTGTGTATCTAGTTGTCCTATCATCATTTGTTGAAAAGGTTATTATTTCCCCCATTTAATTGTTCTGCTATTTCTTCTCTCTCAGAGTAATATGAATGCTGCATTCCCTTTTCTACTTTTATGTTCTAAACTCCAACATCTCCTAGAGTTTCATCCTTGATCCTCCTCTTTTAAAATTCTGTATTTTTCTTTCCATGGTGAACTTACAGTTTTTTGGGTTTTACTATCTATAATATGGTTAATCTCCAGCCTAGATTTCTTCACTGACCTCTTACATAGATTTCTCTTGGATACCTCAAAGTCAAACTCAATCACAATGAAATTTTGTTCTTCTCACCATCTGATGATCTTTCTTTTTGTTCCTTTATATGCCCATCAAGTCAGTCACCCAAACCTGAGAATCATCATGACTTTTAGCTCTCACTTCTCCCACATTTGGTCAATCAACAAGTCCTACGGATTTTACTAAGTATTGCTTTGTAATAATCACCTACTCGTATGTTAAACCTGTCACCAGGGCTTTATTTAGGGTTCACTGTCTTTTGTTTCTGAAGTGTGTTCCTTACTCAGAGGTGTATTTTCCTCAAATCCATTCCCCCAGTATAATAAACATAAGCTGTAAATATTTTTATTGCCTCAAAGATCCTAGGGAATTACTCTCAATAATATTTTCAATACACATCTCTTCCCTGTTCTTTCTTTAACTTCCATGTTCTACTCCTAAGAGAGCAACAGAAGTTTTCCTTGATGTGACTTTAAATTTTTCACATTATTCCTTCTTCCAGAGTGTTCTATTACTCACCTTAC